GCAGTATATGGGGTATTTTGGGGGTGTATGGAACTGTATGGCGTGTCCCAGAGGTGTATAGTTGATATATGGGGCTTCCCATGTATTGGGTTTGGAGTGAAGGGGGAGTGTCACAGGATGGGGGATCCTGTGTATGGGGGGCATTTTGTGGGTGTATGGGGCTGTTTGGGTATTTTGAGGTCGTATGGGGGATATATGGGGTATCCCATATATTGGGTTTGGGGTGAATGGAGGGTGTCAGAAAGTGGGGGATCCTGTATATGGGGCAGTATATGGGGTATTTTGGGGGTCTGCAGCGCTGTATGGGGCATCCTGGGGGTGTAGGGGGTGGTATATGTGAAGCACCCCATATTCCCCCATGGAACGCCCCATGTCCCACTTGTGGGGCCAGGGAGGGCATGGTGTCCCCGTTGTGAGGTCAGGGAGGGCACAGTGTCCCCGTTCTGGGTCTGGGGAGGGCACAGTGTCCCCCCGTGTGTCTCCAGCGCCGTGTCCCCACAGAGGAGGCCCGGCAGAGCGCAGATGGGGGGCCGGTGTTCCAGACGGTCCTGGTGCGGATGGGCGGCCTCTTCATCCTCCTCCTCACCGTGGGCCGGTGGAGCGACATCCTGCACGTGCTGGTGTCGCTGCTGGGGGAGCTGTGGTGCCTGCTCCACGCCGGGGTGCTGCTGCGGGCCTGCCGGGGGCAGGTGAGCCGGGGGCACCTCCCGGGGCCACCACGGCGGTGTGAGGGGTGGGGAGGAGCCCCGGGGCCACGGGAGGGGCATTCCTGCTTCTCTTCTTCCTTCTCCCTCAGGATTCCATCCCGCAGCCTCACTGGGACAGACAGCCGGGATCCGGATCAAAGGAAACATCTGGATGAGCAGTGGGGTGTGACCAGACAGCAGAGACTCCGGGGTGGCTTTGCCTGGCACCCCCAAATCCTCCCCGTGGGGACTAAGGAAAAAGGGCTTCCAGAAGGTGCCCGACCCCGTCCCATGGGATAGAGGAGGTCGGGGGGGAAGACTCATGTGGCCCCTGGTTTTTGGGGACCCCGTGAGGTTGCAGCACTGCTGGAGTTTGTTCCCTGGTCCCACTGGGATCGCGGGATGCTGATGGATGTCGCACCCTCACTGGCTGCGGGGCCACACTGTCACAGCGGAGGGGCTCCAGGGGGGCTCCAAATCTTGGAAAATAAAGTTTTTTCCAGCAAAATCCGTGGGCAGAGCAAGGTGGGGTCCTGTTGTGCCAGAGGGGGGCTCAGGGATGGCCACGGTGCAGCTTTTTGGAGGAGGTGGGTGGTGCAGTTCCTCCTGGAAAGGGAAACTGAGGCACAGAGTGGGGGGTCACCCTCTGACAGGGAGGTGCCCTCGTGTCTTAGTTTCCTCACC